CTTTGAGCTATCATCTATCTGGCTTGACATACAAGCTAGTGTTCTTCAAGGCGGTATATTATTTCCTTTGCTGCTTACTATATTTATTAGAATAGAATAGAATAGAATAGAATAGAATATATTTTTATTCAATATACATTACATGTGTAATTCTTATTGAAAGTCATTTTTTACTTTACCACTGGTTCGAAAAAAACCTCTGTCCTGGGAAGAACCAGCAAGAAACCCAGCGGGACTTTTTTTTTAAATAAATTTTACAATATAAATGATTAGGAACTATTTACAAAATTTATTTTAGAAACTGCTTGGAAGCGATCACCTCATTCCCAGGGGTTATTATCAACCATGTATTCATTTATACTATAATAACCCTTTTTATACAGTTTCAGCTTAATAAAACATTTAAACTTGGTAATAGAGAGAACCTGTACACTTTCCGGGACCTTGTTGTAATAGCGTATACATTGCCCCAAGAATGAATTACTGACTCTGTGGAGACGAGAAACTGGTATCACTAGCTTGTGTTTGTTCCTAGTGTTTACAGAATGTATATCACTTCTTTTACTAAAACTATCTTTGTTTTTGTGAACATACATTAAATTTTCGTAAATATACTGAGAGGCCAAAGTTAATATATTAATTTCTTTAAATTTATCTCTAAGAGACTCTCTCGGTTTTAGATTGTAAATAGCTCTAATGGCCCTCTTCTGTAAAACAAAAATAGTTTCTGAATCAGCCGCATTTCCCCATAGCAAAATCCCATAAGACATTATGCTATGAAAATAACTAAAATAAACTAATCTAGCTGTCTCGACACTAGTGAGACCTCTAATCTTTTTTACAGCATAGGCTGCAGAACTTAGTCTGCATGCTAATTTGGATATATGGGGGCCCCACTGGAGCTTTGCGTCAAGAGTGATGCCAAGAAAAACAGTGGATACAACAGGGCTCAATTCCTCCCCATTTAAAAACACATTGGTATTCAGATTTTGAACATTCGTTGTTGTAAATTTAACACAATTAGTTTTATTTCCGTTCAAATGCAGATTATTAACGTTAAACCAATGCACTAATTTTGATATAGCATTATTCACTTCGTCACATTTAAATGATTGACGTTTAAGTTTAAAAATCAAGGAAGTATCATCAGCAAATAATACTATATCATGACTATCCCCTACAAGGTGAGGTAAGTCATTAATATACACCAGAAACAGGAATGGGCCGAGAATCGAGCCCTGAGGTACACCCATTAGTACAGGTGACCCGGAAGAACTTTTACCATTGATAATAACCTTCTGTTTTCTATTACTTAAATATGAAATAATAAGTTTAAGCGCTGTGTTCTTGACACCATAGTACTGTAGCTTCCTGATTAATGTCTCATGGTGAACACAGTCGAAGGCCTTGGAAAGGTCACAAAATATACCCAAAGCATCCTCTGAATTCTCCCATGCACAAAAAATATGTTTAATAAGCTCAACTCCAGCGTCAGTTGTCGAGCGACCCCTTGTAAAACCGAATTGATTATTATGTAGCAATTTATTAATATTAAAGAAACTTAACATCTGATCTAAAATAATTTTTTCAAAAATTTTACTTAATGTTGGTAGTACAGAAATTGGTCTAAAATTGGCGGGGTCTAATGTACTACCAGATTTAAATATAGGTATGACTTTACTATGTTTCATTAAATCAGGAAACACACCAGATTCGACGCTTATATTAAATATAGTGGCTAGATAAGGTGCTAATGTATCTATTATAGATAAAATAACTTTAACGGAAATCCCCCATAAGTCTGCCGTTTTCTTAACATCAATAGTTTTAAAATATTTAACGATATCTTTTGGCAGTACCCTATAGAATTTAAAAGTATTTGAACAAGCCTTTACATTTTGTTTGAGCAATGATTCGGCGACAGTAGGAGAAGAATATAATGATTTTGTTGTCAAAAAAGGAACATCAGTAAAATGTTTCTCAAAAGCCATAGCAACTTCTTTATCAGATCGGGTTAAATTATTGTTAATATTCAATAGAAAATCCGAGTTGCGCGGTTTGACCTTGCCCGTTTCACTATTTATTATTCTCCAGGTCATTTTAATTTTGTCGGATGCAGTTTTAATTTTGTTGCTTAAATGTAAAGCCTTAGCAGTGGAGCACACTTTTTTAAATATTTTAGAATATGTTTTTACATAATCTCTAAATATAACACTACTATTATATGATCTTTCATCATAAAGCTCGTATAACCTTCGCCTACTTTTATAAATTCCTACTGTCGCCCATTCATTAAATGATTTGCGACTGTTAAAAGAGAAAGTTTTAGAAGTAAATATTCTACTAAATTCACAACGTATAATTTCAAATAATGTAGCATACAAATAATTAGCACTATTTTTAAACGAAAGTGATGGAAGTCTTTTTATTATATTACTTCTAAACCTCTCCAAGCGATGTTCATTTATTGGAACAAACACAACTTTTTTATTAATCTCATTACCCAAAACCTTCAATCTGCGTATCATCTGTATGCCGATGACTTGCAATCGTACACACAAGCGAGTATTGACAATGCTTCTATAGCGGTGGATATAATTAACAGGGAACTTGAGTACATGAAGAACTGGTATGACAGGTTCGGCCTATTGGTCAATTCTTCGAAGTGTCAGGCCATAATAATTGGTAGCCGTCGGATGATTCAGAGATTGAAATCAGCAGAAGACCAAGCAACGATCTTTAGCCAGAAAGTCACCGGTACCCTGCGTTCTTTGTATCGCCTAAACATTTTTTACCATCTGCAATTAAGAAAATGCTTGTGCAAAGTTTTATTCTCCCCCTAATCGACTATGGCGATGTGTGTTATTTCGACCTAAAGGCAGATCTTCTCAACAAATATGACCGTCTTCTGAATAAATGCATTCGATTCATTTTCAATCTTCGAAAGTATCGATCTCAATTAATTTTCAGTTTCAGTTGCTTGGCGCTAGTCATGGGAGAAACCTCCGCTCTACGAAAAACCTTATTCTCCTATGTCCCTCCCATAGCTCTGGACTTGTTCATTCTTCTTTCCACGTTCAGTCTATTCTCCTTTGGAACGCACTACCTCTCGAAATCAGGACGGCTAGCAGACACATAATTAATAAATTGGCAGATTCATCATAGTAACAGTTTATATATATATATATATATATATATATATATATATATATATATATATATATATATGTATATATATATATGTATATCTTATGTATTTTATTTTCATATGTTGCAATTTTTTCTTATTTTAGTTTAGTTTTCGCATATTAAATTTTTATTACATCTACTTTTTATCTATGCACCATCCCAAGGTAGACTGGTAGAGAATGCCTTAGGCATTAAGTCCGCCTATTTACCACATGTGTATATGAAGTTTTACATAAATAAATAAATATTTAACAAATAAATGTGACCGCTTAGAAACGCTTTAGGAATTATACAAATGTAAACGAGAAATTATCTTTTTTTCTAGGATGAGAGTGACAAACGAGCACACAGTCCACCTGATGGTAAGTGGTTGCTGTGGCCCACAGACATCTACATCTCTCTTCATTTACGTATCAAAATGCAGATGCGTTGTCACCCGTGAGGACTAAGATGGAATTCCTCGTTTCCAGTAAAAAGGGTCTCCGGTTCTCTGCACTCACCATACGAAACACAGCAGCGTTAAGCTGCTGTGTTTCGTATGGTGAGTGTAGCGCTATGAGGATTGAAGTATTCTTCACACCTCAGCTAATAATTATTTAAAGTAAAGTTACAGTCTCTGTACGTCCCACTGCTGGGCGCTGGCCTCCTCTCATTTCTGAGATGGTTTTAGGGTAAGGAAATGTCCGTCGTGCTGCCACACGAACAAAATATTTCGAAGACTTGAAATTCACCAACACGCATGTTGGTGAATTTCAAGTCTTCGAAATATTTTTTTTGATTTCTCAGACATGTAGGTTTCCCCATGATGTTTACCTTCACCGCCTAGCATGTGGCATATCAACACTTAACAATTACATTGGTGTCGGCGGGGATCGAACCCGAGTTGCTTGCGAATTGTGAAATTTACAGCGAGCGCTTAACCCCTGAGCTACCATGGTTCTTCTTTAGCTGAATTATTATATGCAAATAATTACATGTTAGAAATTTCGCTCGGATTTGCTATTCAGAGATATTTTCCAAAATGGTGTGCCTCTTTTTATTAAGGAATTGCTAGCATGCTTCTGTTGTCAAATGGTAATTTTCATTAGTCTTGTTATAAAACACATTAGCTTTAGAAAATATCACTAAAAGAAAGCTACATTTTGAGGAGTTTCTTTGACCGTTTCTTTTTCGGTCTTGGGATCCTAATTTTAAACGGTAGTAGAATAAAACATAACGTTTGATATATGGAATTTTAATTTCTATACCGAACAAATAAGAATAAATACTAAAGTAATGCAAAACAAAAAAAAACTTTATCTAGTAAGGTTCTTTTTGAGTGGAAAATCTAATGCTAGGGTAACCAAGAATAAATATCGATTAATGGCTAGCATTACTTTCGTGTTAATGTGTCTGTTGGGTCTTGATTGGGCCACCCGTTACTGCGTTCATTGAAACGTAAAATTACCCGAATATCCAACATTTAATACTGTTTGCCTACATAGTGTTGAGTTTTTAAATTTTATGAGATACATCGTATAAAGTTAAAGCTGTTCCGATACTAAACCTACTGAAACATTCTCTACTTCTCTATTCCTCGTGAATATTATGGCTATCATAATAACAAAAATAATTATTCATATCGGGCTGGTAGTTCCCAAGATTAAACTAATAGTTTCCCAAGATTTAAACAAACAAAAAAACAAACAAATTTACTCTTCCGCTTTATTATATTATATCTTCATATAATCAGAGTGACACGTCTTAACGATTGTATCATAATATCGTTTACGGTACACTTTAAATCAGTAGCTTAATAAAGTTACTTCAAAATGGACGTCAATGTTCTTGCTATAGTTATTAATTGGTTTCTTCTGTTAACAAGTGTTTGTGTTGTTCTAATATGCTGGTTTTATCATCGTAATTACAACTATTGGAGGGATCGTAGAATCCCTTATGAGAAGCCTTTCCTTTTCTTTGGAAACCTTGCATTTATTATGAGAAGCAGTTTTTGGGACTTTTGTTATGAATTAAAAAACAAACATCCTCGTGAGTATGTCGGAATATTTTTAGCCTGGAAACCAGCGCTGATGTTGCAGACACCTGAATTTGCAAGGAGAATACTTGTTAAAGATTTTGAATGTTTCCAAGATCGATATTTGTATGCGGGATTTTCCGATCCATTGGGCTCATTGAACTTGTTTACAGTGAAGGTAAGTGCCCAAAATAAATGGTATGAAAACATTTTCCTAGTTATTTCAAACTTTAAAGGAACTGATAACCTGCCATTAGTCAAATATTTCAAACAAATATTTTATTTCTATATTTTAGAACCCTATTTGGTCAGCAATGCGACATGAACTTTCACCTATGTTTACTGCGTCCCGGCTGAAAATGATTACAGAATTAATGAACATGAATTCCAAGGAACTGGTGTCAAAAATCCGTCGTGATTATATTAACAACAATAAGCCAGTGAACTTAAAGGTACGCTCTTCTTACTTATACATACCAAAAAATATTTATTTAGGTTTAATTATTTTGGCTTATTTAAAATAATTAATTACAATATAGGAGTGTAAAAGTTCCTATTAATAATCTTAATTATTATTTCCTAGGAATTATTTTCAATGTACACGTCCGACACAGTGGCATACAGTGTTTTTGGAATAAGGGTCAGTGTCCTGAAAGATGAGGATTCACCGTTGTGGTATATAACTAATCATATGGTCAAATGGACTTTTTGGCGTGGTTTTGAATTTACTATGATATTCTTTGTTCCTGCTATTGCTTCTATACTAAAGTAAGCAAACTTTTATCAATTTCGAATTAATATTATATGACATATAGATTTGATTTTTTTTCTTGTTTATAATATATATTGCAGTCATTCGATTGAGCTAAAAGACTAACCATGTAATATGGAGCTGATCTAATGATGAAACTGAATGTTGGCACCAGCCACGTCTATAAGAGCTTGTTTTTAAATAAATTTATGTTATAATTATCATCATCACATTGTTTGGTAGACGGTTCGTTAACAGTGATGTGCTATTAAAATATTGAAGTATCCCAAAGCTAGAAAGTTTCCCTAACTTCTTTATAAAAATAGCAGTGAGAAATATTTTATATAAGATCGATTGCAGATTATAAATTGTTGCACCACACTTGTCAACTAATAATGACAAAAGTAATAGTTGAAACATGTCAATTGCCACAAATCACAGTATAGACCCCTCTTCAATTCTGGGAAGGAATTATGAATGAGGTATTATGTAGTATGTACAGTCATATTATAGTGTTAAGCTAAAGGATGATTTCAAAGTAGTTTCAAAGGTCCTTCAAAGGTCATATAGCTCGAAGAATCGGCAACCGATAGAGTTCTCGAGTGACATCTGCGCAAGAGATTCAAGAAACTTAATGGATGCAGGTGGCTCAGGACCGTGTTTTATTGAACTGCGACGACGATGATGATATATAAATAATATGTAAGTGGCAACAACATACTCGTATGTGCGAAACAACTGTCACTGCGATCGTCAATCCACCTGTCAATCAAAAAGATTAAAACAAATACTCCTTACAACAGGACAGGTCTATATGTTCATTAGTGCACATTTAAGTGCCCTTAAAAATAAGAAGTAAATTTCTTTTTTAAATGCAAAATAACATGAATGATGTGAGTAGATGGAGGATGACCTGGTAAGACATGCAGGAAGTCGATGGATACTGGTGGCTCAGGACCGTGCTTTGTGGCATTCCTTAGGAGGTCTATGTTCAGCAGTTAACTTGTGAAGACCTGTAATGATGATGAAGATGATTATGATTATGGTGAAGATGGTGTGAAATACGTTATATAAATTTTTACAGGTTACAATTTTTCTCTCGGGCCGCCACAGATTACATCAAGAAAATATTTTGGAGCGTCGCTGAAGGACGTGAAAAAAATCAAAAGTCAAATTATAAAGATCTCGTTGAACATCTACTTAAATTAAAAGAGAATTTAAAACTACCCGCTGATTCGGAATCGGGTAAATATAGATTTATTTTGGTTTTCCTATCTTAGAGTCGAATTTTTTGTAAATTAACTTGAGATGTTGTCAGGAAGATCCTGCTGCCCATCTCTTGTTCCATGTCTGTCTCCTCTCACGACACCTACAGGATGATATAATGTGGTAATAAATACTTTTACGCCGTCATTACACGGCAAAATTTATAAAGCTTGTTACGGCCTACGGCTGCTCCTCCAAAAGTTCAAATCCTCTGGGGCCCATTCAGCAGAGTTTCAACGAACAGACGTAGGTCGGGCCTCAATATGGCCGCGTGGAATTTCTCTAATTACAATAAACAATAAGGGGGAGCGTTCTATACTACTGCCATTCAACAGGGAGAATATTAAACGGTGCTTACTTACCTATATCCAAGGCGACTAGTCCCTCAGGATTCGGTCAGGTCTCATGTAGTTGTGTGGTGCAAGGGAAATAAGGAGCTGTGATGTGTATCTGGGTGTGACTGGTGGTGATTGACCTTATTAGACCTTTGCCGTCGGCAGCAGCCCGGACGCCAGCACCGCTTCAAATTGAGGCAATCTTCCGCGGCGCCGTCCACAGTCACTTTCTTCGTTCGTCACGATGACAGTCCATTAACTCTATCGTACGATTAACTAACTTACAGAAGCCACTAACTCTCGTTTGTTATAAAGCTTAACACACAAAACGAACACGGAGTGTCCGGATCAAAGGTCACTACCGTTTCGCGTGGCAACAGTTATTTCTAGAATATCAAAGGCCGCACTAGCTAATATTGTCGAATGCACTTATACAGATTCTGAGTCGGACCCAATAAGTCCCGGGAAAGGCTATCCAACAAGGAATGCGCGTTACAAATCCTAGACAGTATATTTACTAGAAGCCTAAACTATTCCGCGTTTCCCGCACAAAAATTGACAGCGTGCTGACGTTAGCACAGCTGGCAGACGACTCCTTGCGCTCGCGCGCTCTCTCCACGACCGAACGTCAAACCGGTATCGCCGAGCCGCGCGCCCTCTGACGTCAATCCCGAAGTCAGCGTTCGGGCGTAAACAATGCTTTTATTTATATTGGATTTCAGAATTGGCTGATAATTTAATGCTGGCTCAAGTCGCTGTATTTATTTTGGGCTCAATTGAGACTTCATCTACTGCTCTGAGTTACTGTCTACATGAACTTGCTCATCATCCGAAAGAGCAAGTAAGTATTTTGTAGAACTTAAATACCACATCACTTTTCTTTACATACGTAAAATTTCATCAACATTTTACCCATTTCATATCACATGTACTTCAGTCATTATAAATAGTTCACAGTTACCACTTTATAACTGTCTTTTTTTTTTTAAAAAAGTGGTAAAATTAGATATTTTGTACAACCGACTTCAATATAAATTATTAAGTATAACCAAAAACTACTGGTCAAACCTTCATAAAAATATGGTGACACATAAAAAATACAGTCGAATTCAGTCAGAAAATCCTTTTTGAAGTCATTGCGATATAATGTACTACGTACTAGAGAAGACGCCTCAACTCGATTGTTTGTAACATGAGTTAGAGAGCGCGCTCTCAAACTCACTTAGTCTGTGTCAAGCGGTTGTTGCAACGTGAGAAGTTAGAGTGAAGAATTATATGCCTTCGTGTGCATTGAGATACTGATCAAACTACTCGAGAAATATAAGGAAAAGTCAAGGAGTGAATTTTCACCAGTAATTTAAACTTATTATTATCTTTAAAACTCGCTTAATTTAATTATATTTTATCAACTGCAACGTATACGTGAATGTCAAAGAGTAAAACATTTTTATGCGCAGACTTGACACTATCGACGTATAATGTTAAGTGATTATGAACAGTAAAATATTTATATATAATCACTGTAGGAAATGTTAATGCATTAAAATATTAACTTTTTATTATTATTTTTATTTAATGTTTTCCTCGGCTGTGTCATGAAACAAAATAATCATGGATCAAATTTGTTCAGAAGAATTGCAGCGAAGAAACGTCAGATTATTCACGCACATTTTCCGTGCAGTTCAAAAAAAATGACAAATACACCGCAAAAACAGGAAGAGTGTACTTCAAGAAATAAGCAGTACCATGCGACAATGTAATTATATAATTATATAACATTGCTGCGATTTTTGTTTTATTTTTTGATTAGACGACGAACGAATGTTTTGTAATGTTCAGTATATTTACGGGACTTAAGAGAGACGGAAACCTCGGCGCGCGAGTCATTCTAGTATATGACGGTTTTTTAATACTGTAACACTAGAATTTTTGCAGGCTTCCCAAATAACTAGTATCTTTTTTTCAGCCAACAAAATGTGGTGAACAGGAAGTATCAGAACCGTTGTCTGAATCAATAAGCAGTACAAATTCAATTTTAGATAGTCCGAGCAAAATTGGACTTAAAAATAAATTACGCAAGTGATGTCTCCTAAGCTAAGTTTGAGTGATGTATACGAAGCCTAAGCTTTTAAATATAGTTCTACTTTAATAACGGAATCAATAATTTTAGGTTATTATAAAAAGAATAAAATATAAGCACGTTGTAATATTGTGTTTGTATTTAATAGCAAGGAATCTGCAGCTAGAAAGAAACTTACTGAGAAATTTATGACAAAATATTTATCTAAAGAAAAAATGTGCTTCTTACAAATCAATTGTAGAAAATTTGAAACATAAAGTCGGTCTCAACTTAAATGCTGAGATTGATTTAATGGGTAAAGCAGAAGTTATGGAGTAACATAAATCTTTAACGAAAAAGAATAAACAGAGCACGAATTATTAATTATACACTGCATGCACCTTTACGTAAATTCGCATTGATTTTACACTATTATTCACCAGCTGCATATAAATACGTTAGAGAATGCTAGAAATGTAATAATAATGATCTTTGAAAATAAATGCATATTTTTATATTATACATATTTTCCTTTTAAAGTATTAAATAAAATATAAATAAAAAGTAATTCTGACATAATATTATGTTACATTATATTAACACATTATGCAATATAAATAACAATTTGAAAAATTGTACTCGATACAATTTACAATACAATCTAAATAAACATTTACTTATTACATACTGATCATTCTACCTACCTACGTATATAAACTATGATGACAAAAACCGCGCATGCGCGACTGTACTATTTACCGCGCATGCGCGAAGACATAGAGTAGTGCACAGTTTTTGTTCGGAATAGCTTCTCTAGTACGTAGTACATTATATCTCAATGTTTGAAGTCTGTTAAAAAACAAAACTACGCTAGCTTTAAGCAATGCAATTCATTTAAGTAATTTCGTCTGCATAAGAATATAAGGATAAGGACTATTTTTAGGAAATTTAATGGGTTCAGACTAAAAATATGTTAAATGTTATAGGAGAAGCTCTACAACGAAGTGATTGCAGCGATGCAAAGATCTGGAAAGGAAGTTTTAAATTATGATGAATTATTAGATTTGAAATATCTTTCGATGTGTATTGCCGGTATGTTATTATTAAAAAACATTATATTAATTTTTAAGAATAAAGTCTAATTTTTTTAGCATTAATTATTTTTAGAAACATTGCGCAAGTATCCACTACTTTCATATTAAATGATGAAGTTACTATTGAAAAAGGAACGCCTGTGTTCTTAAATATCTTGGCCATTCATTATGACGAGAAAATCTATCCAGAACCTGAACAATGGCGTCCAGAGAGAATGAATTGCTCGGCTGACAGTGATAACATTAATTTCACTTATTTGCCATTTGGCGATGGACCTCGATTTTGTATAGGTAAGAAAAATACTAAAATACATATCCGTAATATAAAGTCATGATCATGTTATACTGTGTTATAGGCCAATTGTGCTCTTTGTCTCGTAAATTCTTCTCAAAGTTCCCAGTAGAAGCACAAGAAAGTTATTTTTATTTTGAGAATGCACGTACCCCTACAATTTTATGTTCTTCTCCTTTACCGCCACATGCGCATGTTTATAGTTGCAGTCACCAATTTTCTTGGTGTCAACGTGAATCGCCCTCGTGTTGCCATGGTATAAAATCTCTTTGTACCAAGACTCTTTAATCTATCTTTTTATAGAAGAAGGATGATAAGCGAACACACAGCCCACCTGATGCTAAGTGGAAACTCTGATAGACACCTGCATCTACCTTCGATTAAGAATCCAAATACAGAAGCATTGTCACCCCTCAGGGCTAAGATAGAATACCTCCTATCCAGTAAAACGGGTCTTTATTATAGTATCTATTAATAAGAATATATACCCTTTTTAAAACGAAAATAATAGTTGTTCTGAGTGATTAAGATACCAAACTTAACTTTTAATGAGATAATATATTATGATCGAAACAATGGCATATTTTTTACACTAAGTTATTCAGATTACGAAACGACAAAACTGCTTCGACTTTAAAACTAATTTTAAATTATATACCTAGAAATTCAGAACATAATAGGACGTGTTTTTCAAAGATTTCTACGGATAAAAATCAAACCCGTTTTTATAAAAAATAAGTGAAGTAAATTAATTTCTTTTTGCAGGTAAACGCTACGGTATGATGCAAATTCGCTCAGCCCTAGCCCAGATAATTGCTGCATATGAAATAAAACCCGCTGACATACCTTACAAAGTTGAAACAGATCCTTACAGTGTTATATTGGCACCCAAAGATGGTTTAAGCGTGAAGTTCATGGCTAGATAAAATGACATGAAATATTTTTGAATAAGTTAACTTAGATAATTTTTTCTTCTATATTATATAGTATGAAGTACTTGTTTCAAATTATATTAATTATGTACCGCCTTATTAAACTTTGGCAGCCCTGTCGTTGCGCCTCAAACGAAACGAATAGAAGGTTATCAAACTATCGAAGTTTCTGAACTACTCCAGTGTATATAAAATAGCTCGTCGCACCCCAGGCTGAACAACTCTCTCAGTCAAATTCAAATCATTAAGTTTATTTTATACACTTTTATTACTTACAATAAAATATAAAAATTCGTTACTAA